ATGGACCATGCCGGGTCGGGTCAAGTCTTACCAATTATAGTTATGGACTTAGACATTAATCCAACAAGCACAACGTACATCTTCAGTACGCTTAGCGTACTCGATCCTTGGGTGGTACGCACATCGTACAAGATAGTACGCCTAACGTACAAACAATTTTTGCATAAAAATCCATTAAGTGCTTAATACACGAAGTCTCAACATCCAATTCCAGATCTGAGTCGATTAAGAGGTCCTAGGGCATAAAGTTGACAACTTTATGCCCTTGCATGCCACATGGGAACCCAACACCTCATTTTTCCCATTAAGACCCCTTTTAAGACCTTAAAATCATGCATGGTTCCAAAGCAACCATCAAGTTAGCATTTTTATGCTTCTAACATGTCCAAGGAGCTTAGATCTACCATTTCTAACCTCTAGAGTTGCTCAAACTCACAAGAGAGGGTCCATGGACCAAAAATGGACCCAATACCAAACCCTAACTCAAACTAGCAAAAAGATTAGCATGATGTATACTTTTTACCTTCAAAAGCTTTCCAAGATGATCTAGATGAAGGATCTACAAGCTCTCCCACGTTCAAGATTTGTTCACCACTTCCTTCTCCTTGCTAACACACCCAAAAGAGGTTACTTTAGGCACCTTCAAGCTCAAGAATCACTCTCAAAGGAAGTAGGGTTTTAGGGACGTAAAGAGGAAATCGAGGTTGTTTAGGGTTTGGTCTAAAAGGCATAAGAGTTATTAAATAGGGTTTAATGTCCAAAAATGAGGGTTTTGACTTAAGCCACGTACGCCCTAGTACGCACCGTGTACGTGGTGCATGTCCGCGACCATGCCACCCTAGTACGCTAAGCGTACGCATATGTACGCCCAACATACGTAGGGACCTCCTTTGCAACAATAAATTCATTCCAAGGGTTAAAAGGTAAATACCTGCATTCCAAATGTTACAGAGGGAATGAGAAATGAGGTGATAATGATGCTTATATATGGACCAAACCCTAAAAATTAGGGTGTGAGTTTCATTACGTACGCCCTGCGTACGCGGTGTACGCTTAACGTACTAAGGTCCCCCCTAGTACGCTCAACGTATACCCAACGTACTAGGCCTTTGGCCAAAATCACCAAAATGCCACTATGGGCCATTCTTACAAACTTTCTCAAGCCTACGGGTCAAAATGCAATATTCTTTCATACAAAAGGTTAAAATTGAAAATACCCAATCATCGGGATGTTACAAAGAATATATGGCTTAGTTTCAAGATTAAATTGCAGAGTAGTTAATGCAAGTATGGAATAAATGATTTAAAAATGTTATTGTGGTTGTATGAATTATATGTCAGTGTTGTAAAACTAAAATTATTTAAAATTCAATGTTGAAAAACCTTTTTAAGTTTAAATAATCGGTTTATTTAAATTTCAGTTTATTTTAGCAATATGCAGAAATTAAATACAATCTTCCTCTTACACATTACATATGTTTGATCCACCTCTACTCTAAATATGATCCACATAATACAAACCTTTTACTTAAAAAAAACAAGTTGTAATGCCAAGTTTCGGGTACGCCTCTCTTTAAAAGTATTAATACTTCAAATTTTGGATTTTTGGTGGCCACGACGTGGTGAATAAGTCCTACGACGTGGCCATGGTCAGTGGATGCATGGAGGCTAAGTAAGTGCCATAGCGTGGCAATCTATTCGCCATGACATGGCCACCGTTTAATGACAAACCCTAATATAGGGTTTGTGCCCCTATTTAAGGGATGTGATGGCTAGGGTTGCCCATCCTCAGCCCCAAACACTCTCCCTCAGCCTCCAAAAGCAAACCCTAGCATCCATTGCTAACTCTTGAGTTTTGTGGTGTTTAGTTGTGTTTTGAAGAAGAAAAAGGTGACCTTGAGCTTTGTTTCAGCAAGCAACTTTCCTCATCCTCTTTGGGCATGTTTTATGGACTTTAGTAAGTCCTAAATATCCAATTTTTATGTTACATGTCTCTAGATCTAGCCTTTTTGTCCCTTAATCCTCATGGTGTGGGAATTGGAAGGTTGGGTTCCATAAAGTTGGCAACTTTTATGGATCCTTGTGGTCATCTTAGTGTCATATGTTCCATATTTGAGGATCTTTGGAGTTTTAGTCCCATGCACAAGCTTTGAGTTCCTAATTACCATCTTTTTGACCTAAAATGGAAGGGACATGCATTGGACATGCATGTCCATAAAAACTACGATTTTTATGGTCCATTAGGTGTAGGAAACCCTTATGGAAACTTTGGAAGAGTAACTCTAGTCATTAAGTACTTAATGGGTGTTTACATGCCTTTAGTTTCCTTTAAGGATTTAGGATTTGGGATCTTGACTTCTTGAGGTGTCTTAATGAAAATTTTATCCATAAAGACCATGGGAAAGACCAAATCTGAGCTTTGGAGTTCTTAGAGTTATAGGAAAATGGCTTAATAGGTTAAGTTGTCCAAACCAGTCCCCACGACATGGCCTTATGTTGCCACGACATGGCGATTGGGTAAGTACTCGTCTGTTTTGTCGTTATGCTGCCACGACTTGGCCAATGGATGGCCACGACGTGGCGACTTGCTGATTTGGACTTTTTGAGATGTTGACTTGACCATTGACCGTTGGGGTTGACATTTTGACTTAGTAGACTTTTAGATCAACATATGGGTTGGACTTTAGGCTGAGAATTAAGTTCCTTGTTGTATTATAGGTGACTTGTGATATCGGCCTTCATCTTGGGAGGGAGCTATTGGATTATTTGCTAGATTACAAGGTGAGTTTTTCCTTCAGTGTACTCGTGGGTCGAAGGCACCAATGTCGGTCCACTAGGTTGTGTTATGTATCCGCGCATATAGGATGTTGCTATGTTGTAGTGATTTGTATGATTATATGTACTTGTTGTTTATTGTTTATCTGTTGCATATATCGACATAGTACAGTTTGGTTGAGGCGGTACTGCTTCGTGCTATAGGCCAACAAACCCGGGGCAATCCAATCAGGAGACTGTGGGTTAGGGTAATCCAGTCGGAAGACTGCGAGCCTAGGGACAATCCACTTTTATGTTGTGGACCCGGAAAGCATGTATTGTTTATATTATGTTGTGTGTGGTACTTTGAGGGAACTCACTAAGCTTTGACTTACAATTTGATTTCGTGGTTTCAGGTACATCGAATGATCGGGACAAAACGAATACGTGATCATACACGTCATCCTTTAGATTTATATTGACATATGTTTTTGGATACTCTAATTTTATGGCTGTGTTTTAGAAACAATGTTTTATATGACTTATGGTTTATATAAATGATTTAAAAAAAAAAAAAATTTTTTTATCATTTGAGAATTTACACAAACGAAGAAAGAGCACCTTCAACTCATATGTAAAAATCGTGATGGGGATAGTGACCGATATTTCTTGTCATATCCTGTATAAAAGTGGCGTGAGAGGGTTGCCTAGCCACCATATGTTTTCATTTTCTTTAAATTATTTTAACACTCATCTTCTTGATGATTTGGGGAAGCAATAGAACCGCTCAGATGCCCATCTCCTCATATATGTCGTCTTCAACAATTTGTCTTCACCAACCCACCATTCCCCCATTCCAGACACTTCATCTTCACTGGTTCCTACATCTTCATCGCTCATCACCAGGTTACATTCACCTCTCTTTCTTATCAATCCTCTATCTCCTTTATCATCGTTTCCTTGTTTGCATTCATTACTCATTAGTGATCGGTTTTTGTTCTTTGTTCGGCCAATAAATCTAATTTGATCTATTTCACAATGTTCGCTAATAGCTTCGCTAATTTTAGCTTCGATAAATTATTTCTTCGATGAAAATCGGCTTCTCTTGTTAATGCTTTGCCACCATATGTATGCCTATGTCACCACCACGAAAACCGGAAACCAAATCTCGAAATTACAATGAGTTTTAGCCCCCAAATCCAATTATCCCGAAGCCATGAAAGCACCCATTGTCTATAAATATAAAATCAATTCATTTAACATCTGTATACAAAATTAAACTCCAAGGTCTAGAAAGAACCCTAATTTATATACAATCATGCATTAAGGTATAACTTTTCAAGATTCAGAGATACCCACAAACTGATGAGTTGATGTTGATTTCTGCAGCTTGGGAAAGAATCTAGGGTTTGGGATGACAACAAAATCAGAGAGGTTTTCTTCTGATTTTGTGATGGGAGGTGCAGCAGCCATCATATCAAAAAGTGCAGCAGCACCAATTGAGAGAGTGAAGCTTTTACTACAAAATCAAGGAGAGTTATTGAAGAGAGGTCAACTCAAAAAACCATATACAGGGGTTGGTCAATGCTTTAAAAGGGTGTTTAAAGAAGAAGGCTTTTTCTCATTTTGGAGGGGTAATCAAGTCAATGTTATTCGATATTTCCCAACTCAGGTAACTCATTAGCATTTCTTGTTTTTAGCTGTATAATTTCAAGAATCCGAAAACTAAACACCTAACACAAGTACACAACTCAGGTAAATAAATCATTAGTAAGTAATTCTTGTTTTAGGAAGTGAGAAATGGATAATAGGTTCCTGAAGAAACTATTTTTGAAAAATATCCGTAGGCTTTCAATTTTGCATTCAAAGGTTACTTCAAAAGTGTATTTGGAAGGTCAAAAGAGAGAGATGGATATATGAAGTGGTTTATTGGGAATGTTGCTTCAGGAAGTGCTGCAGGAGCCACCACTTCATTGTTTCTGTATCATTTGGATTATGCAAGAACTCGATTAGCAACCGATTCATCAGGCATTTCAAGAAATCATAAACACCAATTTAATGGACTTTTTGATGTTTATAACAAGACCCTTGCAACTGATGGAATTAGGGGCTTATATCGTGGATTTGGGATTTCAATTGTGGGAATTACTCTTTATAGAGGGATGTATTTTGGTTTATATGACAGCTTGAAACCTGTTGTCTTAATTGGATCATTTCAGGTATGCCTTATAACCATTTTCTTCTAAAATATATATATATATATAATATATATATATATATATATATATTCTGGTTTGTATGCATTTTCTTGTAAAATTTGTGTTTTTTTTTTCTGCATTTCTGGCATCATTTTGGTGTAAAGGAATAGTATAACACCAAAATGTTGTCAAACTTTCATGTGTTAATTTTGGTCCCTCTTTATCTTTATTTATTTCTAGCTTATTAAAGAAGACTAGGTATATTCTGAATATGTTTTTTTATTTAAAAATTTACGTGTGATATTTTCATAAATGCATGTGTAATATTTATATAGACGTGTATTATAAATATAGTTTTTAATTTAACAAATGTTTTGGTGTTACTAAAATAACAAGTTATTCAAATTAATAATATACACATAATTTGTTTGGTTATAATTTTGAAACAATACATTTTATAAAGTTATTAGAACAAAAAAGCTGTAAATTTATTTGTAAAAAGCAAATAAGTTAAAGGGTATTTTTTACAATCTGTATAACTTAAAATAAAAAGAATATGAAGTTGGGTTGGAGATGGTCTTATATTCATTTTCTTGTAAAAGGGTGTGATTTTTTTTCTGCTTTATAGTCATTTTCTTGTAAAATGTGTGATTTTTCTGCCATACATAAGCATTTTCTTGTAAAAAGATGTGATCTTTTTTCTTCTTTATAAGCATCTTCTTGTAAAAAAATGTGATTTTTTCTGCCTTGGATGCATTTTCTTGCAAATAGTGTGATTCTTTCTGCCTTGTGATAAGCATTTTCCTTTTAAAGATTTGATTTTTTTTCTGCTTTATTTCCATTTTCTTGTAAAACGTGTGCTTTTTCCCACCTTGTATCCATTTTCTTGAAAAGGGTGTGATTTCCTTCTACTCTATAACCATTTTCTTGAAAAAGTTTTGATTTTTTCTGCTCTGTAAGCATTTTCTTGTAAAAATATGTGATTTTTACTGCTTTATTTGCATTTAGTTGTAAAATGTTTGATTTTTTCTGCATTGTATGCATTTTCTTGAAAAGGGTGTGATTTCTTTCTACTCTATAACCGTTTTCTTGAAAAAGTTTTGATTTTTATTTTCTTCTAACCTCTAAAAACAATCTGCAGGACAATTTTATCGCAAGTTTTTTCTTGGGTTGGAGTGTGACAACGTTTTCTGGTGTTTGTGCTTATCCATTTGACACAGTGAGGCGAAGAATGATGTTGACTTCTGGTCAACCCTCAAAATATCATCATGCTATTCATGCAATAAATGAGATCATTCGATTGGAGGGTTTCTTGGCTTTATATAGAGGAGTTACTGCAAACATGCTTGTTGGTGTAGCTGGGGCTGGAGTTCTTGCAGGATATGATAAATTGTATCGAATTACATACAAAAGTAGCCATAATTTGGAGCATCAAAAAGTCTTGTAGTTAAAAACTCGAAAAAATGGAGATGATTTTGGCTTAATTCTACATGGATTTGCTAAAAAGAAAGAAATTGAAATGGTGTTGGAAGGAGAAAGGTCATGGATTTGATATATGTATAGCTTGATATGTAATGGGTGCGATTCATTTGTGACACCTTCAATTAATTTTGTTGATTTTTGTTATGAAATTGTATAGTTTCCATTTTGGTTATTGCTTCTTTTGATCTTTGAAAGACTTTTTGTAACCAAAAGCTAAATGTGATAGATTGGGATGGGCTGGACTTGATGGGCTTAAACAAGACGAGGGCCTTTATGTCTTTTAATAGATATGAAATCAAGAGCAACTTGTCCCATGTTTTCTATAGGTGTGAGTGTGACACTCATTGACACATGCTTGACTTTTGGGTTCAATGATTGCTAAATGCTAACGTGTTACTCATTATAACAAATTAATAAATTAATAAAAATAAATAAATAAATAATAAACTCTAAAGTCTTTGAGATGTATTTTATATTTTATTTTATTTTAACCCTAAATCCGTAATAATTTATCTGTGTTAGCGTCAAGGAGTTAAATGATATAATTTTTAGAATTTGGGGTCTATATTGTAACATTATGACTTGAAATGTAAATGATTTTATAAAACAGGGGTTTTTTAGTAAATTGTGGGATTGTATTGAAAGGAATAGAGGGGGAGGGGCTGGAATTGTCAAAATGGATTGAAGTTTGAATATTGACGGGGTCTAAAACCCATCACCTCTCTTTCCCTTGCATACCATCCGAAAAACCTAACCGTACAACATTTTTTCAGCCGCCACCTTGTCTCTCCAACTTCCAGCCGCCGCCACCACGTCCTAGACGTCGCCTTGAACGGCCGAGAACCTCACCGTTGCACCCGCTTCCGACGAAGCCGGAAACCGCCGAAGCCAACACCACACGCTGCTGTTGCCGGCGATAGCGAAGACCGACGATTCGTGGCCGCTGTTGCCTCTCCTTCTCCGGTAATGGCGCATCCCTTCCACCCCTTCACTTCTTTTGCCGTTTCTTCGAGTCCCGTCGCCGCCGCCGCCTCGAGCGGCTGCCCCTTTTAGCTGCATTCTTCGGCTACCGTCTGCCACCACGTGGATGGCCTTGTTGTATGTGTTTTCGTGTTTAGATGTGCGTACTCCAGTGCAATTCGTGTGTGTTTGCTTGACCGGGAATCTAGTTGTTAAAAAAAAGTTGGGATATTAATAAAAAAAAAAAGTTTTAACCAATTTTATAATAAAAAAGCTAAGCATTTGTACCATTGCCCAGAAGTGACAACCAGAGTAAGATGCATCAGAGAAATTCTGGCAATCGGCGTCCATCGGGAACCGATGGCTCTGATTTCTCATACAGAATGGTCGTCGACAACAGTATGTTCTTTTTTCTTCAGTCTTTACTTGTATGCAATGCAATTATCGTTTATAATTTCAACTCTTTATTTGAATCTTAACTTTAGGATATACAACGGTAGCCAAGGGAAAATCCACACTCTCCAATGTTCTTGCGATTCAGGTACTTATACAGGCTCTTTTGCTGCTTGCTGTTTCGTATAATTTGTTAGAATCTTATGATAATTTACGAGATTAAACTTTGGGAACTTAATCTTAGCATCTTGATGGATTGAATCAGTGAGTGTGCAGACTAGAAACTTTTAAATTTTAGATATGAAAAATGGTTTGCTTTGGATCAAATAAGGATTTTGAGTTATTTGAACTCTACTTCTAGGGTTTTATGTTATTCAAAGTACCTTCTTTGATGCTTGTGAACTTAACTAACAAGATATCCCCATGTTTAATGTGACGCAGGCAGTAGTAGTGCTGCTGCTAGGAGTACTTGACATCCTTTTCATTCTGTTAAAGAAGGAGCCTCTTGAAATATTAGCTGTTGCATCGATTTTTGTAACTATCATTTCAATTATAATTGGAGAATTAGGTAAACACTGTTTTTTTAGTGCTTAGTGCTCTTAAGAGTGAAATTTATATTATTTATTAATATTCATCTTGTTATATTACAGGTCGAAAGCGTAGCAGAGTGAGCCTTTTGAAATTGTATATGGCTGCATCATCTATAGGAATACTTGGATCAATTGCTTCCATTATCCAACTAAAGGCAAGCACACCTCTTCTTGGTCTTGGTCTGAGTAATTGTAATTGGGAAACAGATAAGTTTGATGTATTGAAGATTGCTTGTGTTGCTGTTGGTGAGTAATACTATAAAGCCTTTGTGCCAATTTATTAATTTGAAAATATATCATGTGTATGGTATGTACTTGTAGTTGGACAACTTAACAATGGAGGTTTATTGTGTGGCACTGCAGGACTGTTTGTGCAAATATTTTCTATCAGTAAAACAACATCTCTGATCGGGAATATGTCTCCAAAACGAGCTTCTTGATGCAAACCGTCAGTATTCACCATCTCATCTAAAGTCCAATTTTTCTTTGGCAAACATACAGTTTTATGTTGTAAGGGTGGCCGACTTAATGTCTTAATGAAAAACGGAAACTACTTTGAATGTTTGAGAATTGAGATATGTATGAAGTTGGCACTTGGCAGGGGTTCTCACTTCCGTGGGTTCTAGAAATGGGCCTCACTTATTAGATAATACACTTTTTTATATTTCTGTAACTTTCATTTCAATAAACGATTGTAACTAGAGGGGAATCATGCCCGCCGTTGGCGCTGTGTTTGTTTTTTTTCCCTTATTTCAAGCTGTACCGAATGATAGAACATAGTATAATATTAATCAAAACATATTACATATACAGAAGGGGTCTTCATATGACAAACAAATCATTGAAAGTATGTTGCTATTTAGTGTATTTTACCCTAGAGAAGAACCAAAAAAGTAAAAATGTTTTGAGAAAATAGGCTCAAAATGTAGATAATCATAGGCTTGTACTTGCAATTTTTTATCAGAAACAGGGGTCGACCTTCATGATCATCTTCTAATCACAACCCAATAACATGTTAAGATAGTGGTGGTTTTGGTTAACTGGTTTTGCGATATTAAATAATCATAATAAACATTTATTTATTGTAGGAGATAGTGTTTCAATGTGCTTCCACTGGTTGAACTTGTAATAATTACTTGTTTCACTGTTTCACAAAGTTTGATTATAAACAAAGAAAAAATAAAATAACCAAAAAAAATATTTTCATATATTGTTGGAGTTTTAATATTAAAATTTATTTTATATCAATTATAAATATAATATGATTATTAATGCTAAAATGATGGGTGAAAATTTATCATTTGTGTTAAAGCTTGTGTGAAACTTATCATCCAAAATTGGTTATTTGAATGCTAAATAATTGGATAATTACAATCTGATTATATAATAAGTAAGATTTTGGTTTTTGTATATATTGAAGAAAAATATTACCTGAACGTAACACGACTATCCCTCTGCCCCAGTAAGCATGCTAACTATTTCCACTGTTTCCCGGAAGCATGCAAGCATACCATCAGCTTGTTCCACTTGAAGTTGCCTGAGAAGTAACAAAATCCAGAAGAAGAAATTGTAAAAAAAAAAAAAAGGAGGACATTCTTATTTAACTAAGATTTTTCCATTTGTCCTGTAATATATATATAAAATTAAAGCCGAAAGAATTTTTTTTTCATACTGGAATAACATAAAGATTATGATAGAAGATGAAAGGTGGCAACTTTAGATCTACAGGTGTTCCATGAAGTGAATATGAAAATAGCAGACTCAATCTGGTTTTCCATCTAATGAAGTAAAAAGATATAAACTTTATCATAAGGCCAAAGGTTTAAAAGAAATAGTTAACGGGTATTTGTTTAATGTACCGTATTTGGTAGACTGAAGTGATTTTCCGTTTGGAATCCGGAATGGAATCCGTCAATGAATCTTGTATTCCAAAATTACCCTTTATCACTGAAAAAGGCTGGAATACCCAAGATTGCTTCTGGAACCTTCTTTCTATAGCTTCTGGAACCTTTCTGCGACCTGTATCAATATGCCACTTTCTGTTTACGATATATTATTATAATAATATCATATGACATCTGTACTCATATAATAATTATTTACTTTGAGTAGAACAACAGTGCCACTGTTGGGATCAACGGGCCCAAATGTCCAAGCATCTCCATGATTACTCAAGATTGTAAATCTAATGACAAGCTTTACACACAGTTAAACTTCTCACTTTGGTTTCTTTCTACTCTGGATTTTGTTTTCTTATTTGGACATCATATTACGAATTAACACGCTTTATGCAATGAAGTAGTTAAAGTACATAACTATTAGAGTTTACCTATCAGGTTCCTCCACTCCTTTAATTATCCCTATCACATTCCGAATCGTTCTTATCACTTGTTTTTCCTGCAACATCAAGGACAAAAAACGTTAGAAACGAAAGCACCATCCAAAAAAAAAAAAAATACACAAAAACAGTAACTTTACCATCTAAGTGAGATCTATAATCCCTGAACCCGATAAAATCCTATAAACCGGAGCATCTTTGTCACCCTGTCACTCCTCATCAACCACCACTCCACCTATACACTCTAACCCTCAACAGTAGGTCACCTTCGCGGCGTCGTACATGTGAAGTTGTTTGCAACTAAAGTTAGGCATCAATGTGACAACCATATAACATGGGCTTTGAAGAAAAATTAATTAATATAAGATTCTTTGCATTAATAAAAAAAGTACAAAATTAAGTATTCATAAAAGCTTCATACAGAGTTTAAATCTCCAGGAAGGTCTTCATTCCTGGATGAATTAGGAAAAGGAAAAAAGCTATAAACAATTCTAACGGCAAAAATTCTAACATACGAATTGTACCTGATGACAAAAATTCAAGCAAAAATGCAAATATATAACATTTTCACTACATACCTTATGCCCTCTGCATAACTATGAAGGCAGATTTTTACCATTTAGTTTCACCTGTTGCTACACAATTTTATCTCA